ATCCCGGGCGCCGACGTATGCAAAGTCCCCTGGCATGGCTTCGAACAGCTGCTCGGCCGCGGAAAGATCAAGATTGAGCAGCATGCGGCAGCGATGAGGGGGACGAGTGTCCCAGCTGTGATGTCACCAGCGGGAGTTCTTGCGCGCATGCACCCCCCGCACCAAAGGCGTGAGGACCCCTGACCGCTGAGCTCGCATACAGTAGGTACAGTCCCGCACGGCCTACTCGTGAGTCCACGCGCGCGCAGGCACTCACGCACGCGCTCACGCACGCACGCACTCACGTACCGTACCGTACTGCAACACCAACGCACCAACACGCGACGAGCTGCGCGGTCGCAAAGTCAGGATCCTAGATGTATTCACATTGGCAGGCGAGCAGCAGCAGCAAGACAAGCACATCGAGGATCGAGAGGAAGTGGGCAATCAGTATCACGAACGGGATCCATGCCGCTCAGGAGCTCGTTGAACTTGGCGCAGGTTCCAGCCGGCATGCAACGCTCGATCAAGCAAGTCTCAGGTCTCGAGTCGGTGCCTGACGAATGGCCAACGGCTATCTTCGGCGAGTATGTGTACAGTACGTTGATCGCTAAGCAAGGCACGCCCCTTTCCCAAAGTCTGAACAACACTCGTGACTGGTCTGGTGCCCGTGCTTCGAACTTCGGCAGAGCCTTCTCTGGCTATGCCAACACTCGTGACTCCTTTGCCTCACTGGGCCTGTGCTCCGAAGTCTCGGCAACATGGAAGCTTCTTCTCGAGGCATGAAGCGAGGCCCTAGCTAACGTGGAAGGCAGTCGTGAGTCCGCTGACGAACGCTTCGGCTTCGCAACATGGTCCGCGCTCGCTACAAGCTGTGTAGACATAGCTCGAAGCACACTCCGCTCCTTGGGAGCCTTGTCTAGCAGCAAGGATCTCCGAGGTAGATTGAGACTTGCAAGTAAGGTTTTGCCTCGAGCTGCGCATTTGTCCGAAAATCTTTATTGAGTTCGACCCCTTGCCTTCATCTCAACGGCTTCTAGCTCCCGACCCAAGCGCTCAAACTTCACACACTCGCGACTATGACTGTGACCGCTCGGCGTGCGCCAAGGTTGAGCACTAGCACAGCAGCAATTGTTCGGGCGCCCTGGCTGAGGCTATGCCTTTGCCGATGGCGCTCTGAGCTGAGGCCAACGAGACCGTTTGCGCAAGCGCTCGCGCCCACGCCAACGGTCGTACGTTGGGCACCTCACGCACACGCTGGCTTTGCAATGGTAGTGGTGGAGGTGCATAGCGTGCGAGGAGGCACTTGGACAGTGTTGAAAAGTGATGCTCGACATGGAACTTCATGGGCATGCGGCTTCGAGGGATCACTCAGCTACGCTTCGAAAGATACAAAAGGCAGTCGTTTTGGTCGCCCTACCTTTTCCTTCCTTCTCCTCATCACACCACTCTCTCTCTCTCTCGACTCGAATCTGGCTCTTCTCTCAGGTGAGCATCCAACTTCTCGCCTGTCCTCCCGCACGTTCACGCCCTTCGCTCTGCCCTTCGACATCCTAGCTGACCCTGTCTGGCTCTCCTTCTCTCTCCCCTCGCAGTTGTCTCGGCTCTTACCACTGTATCCCTACTATAGTCTCGCTCATCCAACTACCGTCTTTTGACAACACACTCACTAAAGCACTGCGCAAGCATCTCTCAGCGATCTTCTCAAATCACTCAGCTTATAGCTCATCTACTACCACTAGCACACGACTGTCTACTGTTCATCAGAAACACTCGAAAGCTCCCTCTCAACCATAAACTTATCGCGCATTCAAGCACAACGCAACAGAAGTCAAAATGGCCAAGATCATTTCCTTTTCCCTTCTGGCCGTCGCCATCGGCATGGTCGCTGCTGCGCCATCCGCTATCAAGCAAGTCAGCGACACTGACGGTGTCGACCTCAAGAATGTCGGCATCTTTGCCGACGTACTCAAGCGCGATCCTCACTACGGCGGTAGCGTCACTCAGATCAACGACGACGATCTCGTCGATGCCAAGGGCCTCAAGATCCTCGCCGATGTCCTCAAGCGCGAGCCACACCTTCCCTCGGTCAAGCAAATCAACGACGACGACCTTGTCGACGCCAAGGGCCTCAAGATCCTCGCCGATGTCCTCAAGCGTGACCCTAACTACGGTGGTCGTATCACCCAGATCAACGATGATGACCTCGTCGACGCCAAGGGCCTCAAGATCCTGGCCGACATTCTCAAGCGCGACCCTCACTGGGGTGGCAGCGTTACTCAGATCAACGATGATGATCTCGTCGACGCCAAAGGTCTGGGTATCTTTGCCGACATTCTTAAGCGCGAGCCTCACCGTCACCGTCATCGCAAGCAAAAGGGTGTCACCCAGATCAACGACGATGACCTTGTCGACGCCAAGGGTCTCACCGTGGGCCTCGACATCCTGAAGCGCAACCTCCCAAGCGTCAAGCAAGTCAATGACAACGACCTGGTCGATGCCAAGGGACTGCTCGTCGGCCTCGATGTTCTCAAGCGCGAGCCAAACCTCCCCAAGGTCAAGCAGGTGAACGACAACGACGGCGTTGATCTCAAGGATGTACTGGTGGGTCTCGATGTGCTCAAGCGCGAGCCCAATCTCCCCAAGGTCAAGCAGGTCAACGACAACGACCTCGTCGATCTCAAGGATGTTCTCGTCGGTCTCGACGTGCTCAAGCGCGACCCTCACTCCGGCCGTATCACTCAAGTCAACGACGATGATCTCGTGGATGCCAAGGGCTTGACTGTGCTTGCCGACATTCTGCGCCGCTCGGGTTACGAGGTGTACAAGAACGAGGAGAGCCAGATCACTCGCCGCTCCGACGACGATGGCCTCTTCTACCGCCGTGACCGTGGAGACGAGCGATGCATGTGTGTGAAGAAGACGACCTGCGGCAGCTCTGGCCCTGCTCCTGCGCCTCAGCCCAAGCCCAGCACCAAGCCTCACTCTTACAAGGCTCAGCCCACTCCCGTCACCCACACCCACACTCGTCACCACACCCACCGTCCCACCACCACCTCGACCAAGACCAAGAGCTGGACTAAGACGCGCACTCACAACCAAGCACCTACGCCCACTCACACCGCGACGCATCACAAGAGCCCCAAGTGCCCATCTGGATGGGGATCTGTCACTCAAGTCAACGACAACGACCTCATTGACTTGAAGGACGTCAGCGTTGTGATCAGCATCCTCGGCGACGACGACAAGTTCACCAAGGCAGAGACTGCTCCCGCCAAGGACGCCAAGTCTCACTGCCCTGCTGGCCGTCATTGCTGCGCCAAGTCGGTCAAGCAGATCAACGACAACGACTTGATCGATCTCAAGGGCACCAGCATCAACATTGACTTGCTCAGCGGTCTTGGTGACGCCCTCATTAGCAAGGATGACAACAAGGGCGGACTCCTCGGCCACGGAGGCTTGCTCGGAACTGGAATTTTGTAGTCGACTCGCACTGCAGTCGCCTCTGATGACGAAATGCCTCCTCACAATCGAACCGACGCTGCCGCAAGCCTAGTCGCTCAGCGCCGCGGTTACCGATCAGTTAGAAGCTTTCACGAGTCTCAAAAAATTTCCAGGTTCCAACATTGTCCCTTGTCACCGTCATCAGCACGCCTTCTCTGCTATTCCCGCACTTGCGCGACTCGGACACAATGCTTCTCTTCAGCGTCGTTCGCTTGCCCCTCTGCTCCGCTTCGAGTCTTGATTGCACATCGAAGCGATCTTGCCATTCCCTGTCCTGTTCGATATCTCGAACTCGCCCCAATGATCGTTCTGCTTCCGTCGCGCTTCCATATCCCGCTACTGTTCCGTCGAGCCCACCGAGCCTATATCATACACATCTGAGAGTCCCACACCCACAACTGCCTGCCAATACAAAGAGCCACTTTCCCTCCTATCTTTGCCACGAAGCGTGAGCCAATTGTCAACGCGCATGGCATGACGAGCAAGAATGGCTCGTGCGAGCGAGGCAGTCAGAGTTTTCGCTTTGCATCCTTATGTTCGGGAGGCGCGGGACTGTCCTTGACAAACATCTATTGACGGTCGCGCTCCTCTTGGCATGCATAAGATTACAGTCTAGGATCCGCGCTTCTTTGTGAAGCGTCTAGGGTAGCCAATTTCGCCTTGACGAGGGAGATCAATTTGACATTGTACATGCCTTGTCGCGCAGCATCTCTAGCCGCATCCCACTTGTCCAGCAGCGGATCCAACCAAGGTTTGGCTTTGATCACTTCTTGTCTAAGATGCTGCGCATACTCTAGCTCGTCCGCGTGAAGACCTGGCAGCATGTGGTAAAGAGGCTGTCCAAATGATGGCGGAGCGGCCAGACGCAGAGCTTCGGCCAAGCCTTGCGCTCTGCCCCTTTCCCAATCTGCTCGCAGAGCCTGGTCCATCGATGCGTACTGGGGTTTCCGCTCCTCGAGGACCTGAACCCGGCGCATTTCGTCCAGAGTGCGATCTGCTCTGCTCGATGGCAGGCTTATCGAGCCATCCCAGACGCCCCGTGTGTAGCGCATCTGCATGTCCGCCAAGACAAAGGGCTTCCAGAACGGTAGACACAAGACGAGGCATTAGCGCATGTATCCAGGCCTAGGCAGCGACAAGTGAGGTGCCGCGGTGCATGTACACTTACAGTGTTCGATACAGGTAGGCCAGAGAAAGCCAAGGTGGGATTAATACCGTGCAAGATTTGATGATGCAAGTTGGGCACCCGAGGCGGCCACTGAGCAGTATCGCTGCTGACATCGCTGTCGGAAAGTTGTATAGTAGGCAGCGCTCCCGAAGGGGTCGGAGCAGTGGTCGAAGTCTCATCCAGCACATTGGTAATACTCGCGGGGTTGATACGCGCCCTTGGCGTTAGTGGAAGATACTGCGACGTTTCGATGTTGTCGATCGAGTCACTTGAGACTAATTCCGATTTGAGGAGGTGCACCCAAGGTATTGTGCCTACCTCGTACTTGGACGGTGAAGTCGAGATACATGCCTCCTTGTCAGTGACGAAGCCTGCCTTGTCCTCTCACAGCGTCGCGCAAGAAGGGAAATTGAACTCACGCCCACGCCGAGCAACACCACGCAATCCTCCAGCAACTGATCATCAGCAAGCAGCAAATCGATTCTCTCTCCTTTCACCTTGACTTCCTTGATGCTGGGCACATCCTTTATCCTTTCATCCGGCAGCGAGACAAACACAGGCAATTGAGCTTGCAAGATGCTACGATAGACGGGCTTTGCTATGCTGCTATGAGGCGCCAAGTGAGAAGCAGCATCGTTGGCGCTATTTCCGTTTCCTACGACCACTATTTTACGACCCGCTTCAATATGCGGCAGGAAAGGTGCTGGCGAGCGGTACCACTTTGCGTGGAAAAGACGCTGCGTCGACAAAGCCGACAGAAGCCCTGGAATGGGTGGGTAGATGGGCGAGTCGTACCTGCCGAGCATCGAGGATGAGGAGCCTTTCCAGCAGCGGTGCCCGACGCAGCAGCTGCGTACGACGTGTCACTCACCAGCCTGTCGCAATTACAATCTGTGCACGCCAAACAAGAATTCACAGAAGGATTGTCAGAGCACGTCCGGGGATCTGACCCTTCCATCGCAAGTGATTACAGCTGACTCACAGCATCCCAGAACTCAACTTTCTCCTGCCCGCCTTCATTCCAATCTCTGAGGGCAACCCTCCAACCTTGAGCATGACCCGCGCAAGCCAGCTCGTGGACGCTCAGCACCTCTACGCCAGTCCTAATCTGATCCTGTGCCCCATTTCCCCCTTGAAAAGGCCGCACAGCGCTGCGTAGGTATTGCTCGGTCTCGTCCAGTGTTGGGAAGGGATTACCCTCTGCGGGCGGAGGAAATGGCGCGCCTGAAATTGAGAGGAAGCGGGGCAGAACATTGCCGCGAAGAGCTGGATAAGCCGGCGAAGGCCAGGTAGGACGATCCGAAGCGTCCCGCACAGGCCATTCGCCCTCTGCATTGCCTAAAGGTCGAGATCGTTCAGAGGCAGCTACAGCCGGGTCGAGGTACCTGTTTACAGGGCAGCGATGTATCAGCAAGCGTTCCGAGGGTGTCTGCACGCCAGAGCTCTCCCCCTCCCCCTCTCTCCCTCTCTGCCCCTCCCCGTCTTTCACTCACCAGACTCCGCCCACATCGCGTCTCCTCTCCACCAGCTGCACCTTGTCGAATGGATGGCTTCGCGCACCTTCATCGGGATCTGACAAGGCCCTCAAAGCTGCGATGCCACATACACCTCCGCCGATGATCAGCACCGTGCGGGGCCTCCGCAAGGGCAGAGCAGGTCGAGAAGAGAAGAGTGGTGCCGTGGGAGCGGGCATGGCGGAAGGGCTTCTCGACGCGTACTGCCCTGCGTCCTGACAAGTGTTGTGGACGAGATGAAGGCGAGGGCAACAAGGGCGGCAGCTTGACCATTGATCAGTCACTGAATCGGAACATCTTGGCGCAGCATCGATGGATTGCATGCACAGCCAAAAGAAAAGGAAAAGCACGAATGCTGGACTCACTGGAGGAGCTTGCTCGGTGTGAGAACGTGCTCACGACACGGTACCGGTACACGATTCAGAATCACGACCATCAAGCCCGCGGGCCTTGGTGACCTTTGCGAATCAATCTGAATGAATATTCGCGCGCTGCCAATTCTCAATCAAATGATTCTGATTCGACCTTTTGCGCCATTTCAACCCGAACACGGGCGGCGCTGAGGCGGTCCAACGCGCCTTGTCGTGTGCTGCCTACGTGCTCTAGTCTGAGTGGCTCGAGCGCGTCTTCCACGATGGCGTGCTAATAGTCACATGAATCGTCACGAATCACGCCCAAGTTTTTGTCACGCGTGCCTATCTGTAT